AAATCATGATTAAGTAACAAAAGCGAAAGCGAAATACCTTGGAAAGAGGATAGTAGCAGGCTAGAATATTTTAAGTTAGTGCAGTGGTGATTGTCAATATTCAGGGAAAGATATTGTTACAATTAGCGAAAATGAGGCGGACAAGTCCTCAAAAAAAATTATGACAGCCAAGTTGTTTACATCGATATATCAGCACTAGAAGTATTTTTCAACAGAAACAGAGAAAAGCCAAACAAGCCAGTTTTATATATAAGCACAATTAATGTCTTAAGGGTAGATCAGGTTCACTTCAATGGTCCGGTAAATAAGTCATGTTTTGAAAAAAAATCATACCTATGGAAAATAAAGGATCAGAGGTATTTCGGTGGAAGAACCGAAGCCACTTAGAAAAAGTAACATCAGCCGAATATAATTAGGGACTTTGAAGCGTGAACAAGATAGCTATATGAATTTAGGGGTAAATATTCTTAAATGCGAACATGCTTTCTTAGCAAATAGATTCAAGCGCTCAATAGGTCTATAAAGAAGGACCAATTACCTGCTCGCTTGCCCAGCTAATAAGGGCTGCTCTAAGAGAGACGCAGATCAAGGCAGGAGTCTGAGATGAATGAATAGAATCGGTACAATTTTGTGTCTCCCTCCATCGACAACCAACCTCATCAAGTAGTAGACGTGACAGAGAGGCCGATAATCCATCGATCAAAGACGATTCAGAATTGACACCGAGCCGCATACTTGCCTGGATCTTTGCATGAATTCGGTCATTTACAAGCTCGGGTCCGACAGTCGAACCGGAAAGATCATTTGCGAGCCGGCCTAATGAATCTTTATACTGAGAAAATGCTTGATCAGCTAGTTTATTGAGAGAAGGAACATGGGGCAGAAGGAGAAGAGCATTGCGGAGACAGAGAGAGGCAAACTCTAGCGTGGGTGCCGATACAGAAGCGGATTCAATCCAAGGATTTGCTTGCTATTAATTGGAATTAAAAAAAAAGAGAAAAAGGTATCGGTAATGGAACATAAAAAGTCGTTCACTACCATAAATAGCAAGTAATCACTAATAAAGGAGCTTTAGGTTTAACCGAAACCTTAATTTCAAGCCATAAAAAATGACACAACTAGTTATAAAGAATTGCTTTCATTTTATTTTCAGATTGTTTTATAATTCATTGAACTC